TAGCCGCCGGCCGCCACCGCCCCCTGACCCTCCGCGGCCGCCGTCCCTCCCTTCGCCCACGCGCGCCGTCACCCCAGCTCCGCACCACTCCGCGCCGCCGCCTTCCGATTGGCCTTCCCGAAGTCCCGCCTCCGCGAGGATCCCGGCTATTGGCTGGAGAGCGAGGAGGGCGGGGCAGGGCGCCGCTCCTACTGGAGAGCGGGAGTGTCAGTCCGCGTGGTTAGAGTTGTGCGGCTGAGGCGGGCGCGGCAGTCCTGAGAGGCCGCGTCCTGCTGTGGGAGATGTGGGAGCGGAGCCTGGTGCTGTCCGCCCCGGGGAAGGTCATCCTCCACGGGGAGCACGCCGTGGTGCACGGCAAGGTAGGGAGCCTGCTGCCGCCCGTGGAGGGGCTCCGGTCCGACTTACTACCCCTGACGCCGCATTTCCTCGCCCGCAGGTTGCCCTGGCCGTGGCGCTGAACCTGAGGACCTTCCTCCGCCTGAGGCCCTGCGCTGAGGGCAAGGTGTGCGTCCGCCTGCCCGGCGTCGGCGTCGTGAGGAGCTGGGACACCTCCAGCCTCCAGGCCCTGCGGAGGGGGGTTGCAGGCAAGCACTGGGAGGAAGGAACCGCTCTCCGTGCATCGTGTGGGGCTCTCAGTCCTGCTCGGCGACTTCTGCCCAGTGTCTGTGCTGGGACCCCCGCGGGGGGGTTATTTGTTCCCCCTGCAGAGTGTTGCTGGGCCTTGTTGTCTCTGACCACGCTCAGTGTGTGTTTGACTAAAGTGTCCCTGCACACTCCCAGCTCAGGCACCCATAGTCCTTCTGTGTGCCTCTTGTGACCTGCCTGGTGCTCTGGTATCTGTGAGTGGCCCTTGCCGTGGCTGTGTCCTCCTGTTTCAGGTTCCCAGGGGCTTGTTCTAGTGCTGCTGTAGCTCAGGCAGTCCTCTAATACACAGAGGAACTACCCAGGGACCATGTCCAGGTGTATTACTGAAGGGGGACCACAGAGGAGTCTCTCTGAAGTTGGTCTGAATTGAGGGCTCTCGGGGAGGGCAGGGATACAGACCCTGTTTTCCTGCCTCTCTGCTCCATGCCAGCCCTCACTGGAATTTCTGCAGCATCTTGTACTGGATGGAGCCCCTGACTGGTGGTTGTGCCATTTCCTTCCAGAGGACCTAGTGTGAACTCCTGTGATCCTCATGAGCACCGTTTGCTTAGCAGAGGGCAGAACAAAGTCTGCTGAGTCAGAGCATTGGTAACCTCTCTCAGTGCTGACCAAAAGTTCTCTTACATTGATGCCTGCTCCTGGCCATTCAGAATCCAGACTCATGTGAAATGCATAATATCCATGTTCTTTAATAAACAGTTCATGACTTGCCAAGTTCTACACAGTGATGGATGGGTGCACTGCAAAGTGTAGGCAAGGAGACAGTTGCTGTAATGCACCACAGGTGTGGGGTGTGGAAACACTGGGTTTTCGGAGTGGCTGGTGGAGATTTTGCATTTATTTTACCATGAATCCTTAGGTAGAAAGTTTGTAGGTGAAATCTGAAATTGGCTTAATCTGTTTCTGCCTACTATAACGTGAGATGTTGTTCTTGTAAATACTGCTTTCAAGTTTAACAATGCCCTGGTTACTAAGTGTTTAAATTCTCCCCTGCTTGCTTCCATAGCTGACTTTGATGAATCTAAGTCCCCCAGCGTAGAACAGCTGCATACACTGAAAGAGTTTGCCGGAATTGCTGCCGGAGCCTCAGCTCCCGAGAGCCTTGCTACTCTTGCCTTTCTTTATATGTGCCTGGCTATTTCGGCTAAGTATGGGTAAGGCTATCTTCCTGCCCCAAAATAAACATGCTGTCTTGAGTGTTGTTCACCATTAATTGCTTCTACAAGGTCATGGGGAGAAAACAAATCTTTGAGGCAAAACAAGGAATTACAAGGAATCTCACTTCATTTAGGTTCTGAGCACCTCAGGAGACACCCTTCAGACCTGAGCGGTTTGGGTGAGGTACCCCAGGCAGGTGGGCTGGGAATCATCTGCTGTCATTTAGGCATCTAGCTTTGAGGTGCTTAAGAGATGTTCATCCCACCATTCCTGCACAGTCAACAGAAGGAGACAGACATCCCTCCCTTCAGCACGCAGCTCAGTTCATCCTGGCTTAGGTTAGAAAAACTGCTACAGAGGTGGGCTGTGAATTCATTGTCTGAGCTAAGTCTGATCCCTCCTGTGGGCTAAATCTCCCTGAAAAGATGGGAACTTGGGGTAACCACAGCTCAGGGCTGTTCCAGTTTCTAAACCTGACAAACACTGTGGATGATACTGGTATAAGTTACTGCGCAGGTGCTCAGGGCAATGTCTGATACAGCACTGCTTACTATTTTAAACCAAGTCAGAACCCGACTTCAGTATTCATAGCAAAGGAATAAAGGTTAAAGAATTATGATGTGATAGCACTGGGGCTGTCATCAGCCTGCTCTGAAACCATCAGTTCATAGTTCACATCACTCACCAGCCAGTGAAAAGCTCTTGGGTTTCATATTAGGGTCTGTAACACAACCCCGGGTGCATTCAGTGGAGAAAAAGGGCACGTGGGCACGAGTATGTGTGTCTTTCGTCTTCCCCATCAGCTTGTCGCTCCACTGGGATGTAACTATGCAGCTAGGAATTTGGGATATTTATGCTTTATTAGAAATATGTTTAAAATCACATTTACAACAATCTTTGAAGGGTCTTTTTATGGTGCTACTCAAGTATTTAGTTACTAAGTGCCCCTGCTAGCAGCTTGACAAGCTGTGCTAATCATAGATCCAATTCAGCAAGGCTTTGTTCTAGTACAATGGCTTAGCAAGGCTACTCAGCTGTGCTAACTGAGCACTCATGAAGCCCGTGTGTGTATGCATGTGCTGATGTTGCCAGTTTTCAACCAGCTTTTCTTGTGATCGGTCCTAATTGGCATCTTTTGCCTTTGAAATGTTGTCTCAAGATGGAATTCAAGGTTGTTGTGTTATATCCTGCGTGTTTGTGTTTCAGAGATGTTCCGAATGTGGACATACTGGTGTGGTCTGAGCTGCCCACGGGAGCTGGGCTGGGTTCAAGTGCCGCCTATGCTGTTTGCTTGGCGGCGGCCCTGCTGACAGCGTGCAGAGCCATCTCCTGCCCTCTGAAGGAGGGAGAGTCCACAGCCAGGTAATGCAGCGAGGAAGCCTCCCTGCTTTGGATGCACGGCCCCGGGCAGCTCTGCTTTCTGTGCCCCTGTCTTTCCTTTTACCTGCACAAATTCTGGCACTGGCACCTCTCTTGGTCTCTCTGGCTAACTCCTGGGCTGTGGCCACAGCAGTGGCACCCTGAGCGCCCAGCTCCTTTCCCTTCCTCTCCTATCGCTGCCCAGTGTTGCCAGCAGCAGAGGCATGCCCTGTCCCAGGGCTCCAACCTGTGAATCACACGTTTACAATTCACTTCTCCCAATAAAAGCAACTGAATGCAAAGACTTTGTAAAACTTGCACCATTTCCCTTGTCTAGTGTAAGATATGCATACTTAAAAAAAAAAGCTTTATTTGGCCAAGCAAATAAAGCACACACTTTAATGTGGTGAATTATTTTAACCTCTATTTCTTCTCTGTCCCTGAGCATCTTCCAGGTTTTGCGTTGAGTCCTCAAGGAGTTGAGCATCCTTTCCATTTTTTCTACATTTTCACATGAATTTTTTTTCTGCATGTGGTACATTTCCTCCTGATTTCCTGCCTGAGTTTCCCTTTTATCAGTGGCTGGTGAAAAGGGGTTTCTTTCCTTCTGCCCTTGGGTTGCTTTCCCTTGGAGTTCAGTCTTGAAAAACTGGTCTGCTCTGCTGTGTGTCTGAGGAGGCTCTGTTTAAAGATGCATATCACAGCTGGAGTGGCAGAACCCTCTATTGTGTGCTGGGTGCCAGGTGCAACCTTTTATGGTTGGCTTCTGTGGATTTTGTGTGGGACTGAAAGTGAGACAGCAAGAGGGGGTGACTGTGCTCTGCTTCAAAAACAGAGTTTGCAGCCTGATCCAGAAACACGTTCCTAGAGCAGAACAATTTGTACGCCATGCTCAGGCAAACCTCCCAAATAGTCACACGGCATGAGAAATGAAAGGCCAGTTCCAAACCAGGCAGCAAGGATGTCTTCATTCCCTGCTTGTGCTTCTTAGCTTCAGCTTGAATACAGCGTAATTTTTTTTTTTCTTCCAGCTGGCGTGCAGAGGGGTAAGTGAGAGATGGGGGTGTCAGACTTCAGAAGGTTTTTGCTTAACATCGCAAGAAAAGAACAGCGTGATATAATGACTCCTGTGTAGAGAAGAATCGCAGCTTCTGAAAGAGGATTAAAAACAAGTGGTTTACAGCAAACTGCGCTTCTATTTTGAGTAGCGGTGGTGTGAGCTGTTTTCCTGAATGCTTCACAGATTAAATATTGGCAAGTGAAATGAAAGGTGTGTGGAGATGGGTAAAGACATTCAGCTGAGGTGCAAGGAAGTAGGGAGTTAAAGGAAGCAGCTTCCAGATAGCAGGTGGCTCTCAGAATTTCTGCCTTGCCTTAGCAGTGGTCAGTGACTGTTCTCATTATTTCATGTAAGGCTGTTTGATGCTTTTCCAAAATCCATGTTTGTGCCTCTGCTTCATCATGCAATACCTATTCTGGGCCCCATATTCTAAAAACCTGCCCAATGCACGTTCCTGCTGCACCAAACACCAGCTCTGATCTCTGCAGAACATCACTGGTGCTGGGATATCTGATACTGCTGTGCATTAGGCCATCTGAACAGTGGCTTGGAACACGCACTTTGTGTCTGGACTGCAGAGCAGGCAGTGCTGTGTTGCAGGAAAGGAGTCAGAGATGTGTATTTGTGTGCCTGTGCGAGTTGAAGTGTGTTATAGCAGGGTGCAGGAGGGCTAGCTGGCTCCCTGTGGGCATTGAGCTTCCCTTGGGGTGCCAGGGTTTGAGACAGTCCTTCACCATGGAGTGAGTGAGTGGGTTTGAAATAGACTGGGGAGTGGTGAAGCTGCAGCCAGCAATTGCTTTGTAACTGGCAGCTCTGCATTTGCTTTTTGTATTGCTACAGCCCATTAATTAGTATGTTCAGTCAGGGGCCTTGATCCTTGCTGAGTCTGACCCAGCACCAAACTCTTTGTGCCAGCATTTAAACTCTCAAAGCACTTAGCAATTTATGTGACTGCTTTTAAGACAACGGAAAGAGCTGGTTTTGTGTTTTTAGCATAACACCTTCTGGATCTGTGTTTGGTTCCCGTCTGTGCTCTAAGTGCCAGCACCCAGTGTAGCTTGAAGTGTTAGGAGTTAATCCCTAAAAACCAAAGTCTTTGCTGGAGTTGGTGGTGGTAGAACTGATTTACTTTTTGACCCAATTTGTGAGGCTTCTGCAGCTGAGCAGCTGGCAATTAGAGGCTGAAGCTGCACGTTTGAAATGCAACTTTTACTATTCCGTTCTCACATTGTGCCTTCTGCGTCTATAAATACACTGTCCTGCCTGTTGGTGAGCAGGATCTCAGGCCAAGACGTGTGGTAACACACAGTGTCAGGGAGGTGGGGATAAGTCTGGACTAGCATTCAGTTGCATGTGATCTTTGCTAGGCCAGGGCTAGGATATTCTCCCTGAATGTGCTCCCTCCCTTGCTGCTGGCCTGCAGCAGGAGCACTGGGTAGTGGTTGCGCCCTTTGTGCTGTCTCTGTGGAGCAGTGCCAGTTCCCCTCGTGGGCTGGACGTGTTTCTGCACACTGCCAGGCAGAAAAGTGCTGAGTGCCAGTTAGGTGCTGGAAACGGCGATGCCTGCTCTCTGCTGAAAGAACACAGTGTGCAGAGGGGTTTTGCGATGCCGGGGCTTCCCACAGCAACTGGGTGCCTTGTATGCTTCCCACTGTTTTTGTATCTCCTGTGGCCTCTGGTGCCTCTCTCTGTCCACATGTGCTGGTTTCAGTTGTGTATTGGAGTCATTTTCTTGCCTTTCAGGTGGACAGAAGAAGAGCTGACTTTGATTAACAGTTGGGCCTTCCAAGGGGAGCGGGTGATCCATGGCAATCCGTCGGGTGTGGATAATGCTGTTGGCACCTGGGGTATGTATGTGTTTGCTGCTCCGCGGCACTGAATATGGGTGCTGAGGAGAGGCTGACGGGTTGGCAGAGCAGCAGACCTGTTTCCATTCTCCGCTGCAGTGTGCATCAGCTGTGGGAAGGTGGTGAGCAGATGCCACAGGTTGCATTTCTGCAAACAATAAGGCTTGGCTGGGGTTGCTGCAGGGACACTGGATGGAGCAGGTTGCCCCACTGCACTGAGGTGCAGCAAAGGGAACAGAAACTCTCAAATTCAGGTCTCCATTTTGACCCGAGTAGAGGGAATCCTTTCCTGTCTCACTTTGCCCCATCTGTAAGCTGGGACTGGAGCCAGCTGGGCTGTTGGGAGACTTGCTGCAGTAACACCAGAGATTGTCCCCCAGGCAAGTGCTATGGGGCAGAGACCCTGTTGCAAATAACTGATATTTAAACATTCTGGCGTGAACAAAGAAACCTAATCCTGTTGCAAGGATAATGCAGTAGAAAATGCAGTTGGACAGCTGTCATTTAGTTTCAATTAGCAGAGACTTCCAAGTGTTTTGGAAGTGTCCTTCAAGACTTTTAATAATCTTTCTAATGAGACCTAATCGCAATGCCTCTGTAAAAGTAGGAGCCAAGTGAGACATTCCTTCTGGACAATGAAATTCCATGCTGAAGGATGGCTGCTGACATGAGTGCACACATTCAGTCCAGTTTGAAACCTGCATGCTTGGCTCTGCCCCAGGGAATCACTGCCTGATTCTTTTTTTCAGTAAAGATTTAATGCTGGCCAAACTCTTTGCCTTTTAAAAAATATTAATGTGATCCCAGACTAGAGGAGAGCAAAGAGAAAGGCATTGGGTTAACTACGTCCAGCCAGACCCTCTCATTAAGTCAGCAGGGTTAGGCAGATTCATGCTGTCTGAGAACATGGTTCATTTAGCTGGTGTTTCTTGCAATTACTGTCATATGCTCTGGGTGAGGTTCTAAAGATGAAAGACCTTCTGCCTCTTACGACACTGTGTTATCTCTCAGCTCACTGTGTACTGAGACAATGCATGTATTTTACTTTAGGTGGAGCCCTGAGATACCAATCAGGAAAAATCACACCATTAAAGAGGTAAATTTTGAGTTTAAAAATAACACTTGCATACGGTGGGTGGAATATGTCAAAGAGGCATTGGGTGGATCTTGTAGGATATGAGATTGATGGGAGATCGCTAACAGCATGGTGGAAGGACTTTGTAGCCAGATTTTGCCATGGGTGTGGGTAGCTTGAGTGTTGTCTTGGTTTGGAGTGGATGGGAACAGTGAAATGTTTGGTCATTATCTGACATTAGATGAACACAGCACAAAGGATCAATATTAATTTCATGGCATCATGGGCAGCAGGAACGGATCTGCTCCTGGCAGCAAATGACATTGTGGGGAGGGGGAACTTTTTGCTTACCTGGTGGTAGGACTGTGTGAAAACCAAGCTGCATTGACAAATCCATGTCCAGATCCTGCATGTTACCTCTGCCTCCTGCCAATGAAGTATAATCTGACTCCATTAAAATCTTTCACAGTGCATGAAATTGCTCTATTAGCAGTTAATGGCTACTACTGGCTAGTCTCGTAGATAGTATTTCAAAGGAAAAATTTTGCTTGAAAAACATGGATTTCAGTAAATACGTTACAGTCCTATTTATAGCACTAGTACAGTTGTTCCTTGTATCTAAGAGGAGCAAGCCTCAACCCAGCCAGCACTTAAGCACCTGCTTAACTTTATTTAAAACTAATGGGACTCTTATCTTGGGTGTCTTGCACAAATAGGCCTTTCAAGGCAGAACGAACTGTAGCTTTCTGGGCCATGGGAGCGGCTGCTGGGGGACTGTAAAGGAAAGAGGCAAGGAGGTGTCTCTTGTTACTTCCAGGGTGCCGATGCTGAGGATCTTGCTGACCAACACAAAAGTGCCTCGAAGCACCAAGGTCCTGGTGGCTGGTGTCAAGGAGAAGATTCTGAAGGTGCGGCGCCTGCCTGGTTGCAGGGTTGGGGATGTGTGCTGGTGCAGGGTGGGGAGATAACCCTCAAGAGCTCAGATCTGCTCGTCTGGGACTGCAGCTTTCACGGGGATCTCCTGGGAGGTCCCTCCTGTAGTCACTGCATTCCTGTCTGCTGCTAGCTAAGGCCTAGCTGCCCTGGGAATGGGGGTTCAGCTCACCTCCTCCCTTTCTCCAGCATTAACAGGGCTTGCCACAAAATTCACTGGTTTGCAACCATGAAAAGAATAGTTCCTTCCTCTGACCTGTTTCCCTCTGTTCCTCCATTTTCTGCAGGTGGGAGCAAATTACTATTGCCCTGCTCTGCAGTGGGTTTTTCTGTGAATGAGTAGCCCCAAATGGGATGAGGAATTGTCCAGCTCAGAGAGACTGGGGCCTGTTTTATCACAGTGGTGTTAGAAGACTAGCAAGCAGTCTTCTCACATCTTGCCTTCCCCCCCTTCTCAGTTCCCTGCTATAATGAACCCGGTGTTGGACTCCATTGATGCAATTTCTCAGGAGTGCCAAAGTGTTCTGGAAGCGATGCCTGCAAATCCATCACCAGAGTATTACCCTGTGCTGGAGGTAAGGGGCTTGTTCGCCAGTATTTTTAGACACTGTTACTGTTGAACATCAAAATGTCATTTAAAGAACATTAGGTCTAAGAAAAAATTTGATAGCAGGAAATGTTCAGTTCTGAGTGAAACCATGCTCTGTGTGTGCTGCTTTTAGTGCCTTTTCTGGAGCCAAGGGACAGAAAATGCTGCTGGTGTCTCTCCGCAGCGGTGCACAGGGAGGGAGGGAGTGGGCCTGGTGCTTTGTGGACCTGTAGCTCTGGAGGTTTTGCTTCCCTTTGCTAAGAAACATGGAGTGACTTCAGGCCGAGACGCCGCCTCCCTGCGCCGTGGGCCAGCCGTGCTCATTCTGGCAGTCACTGCCTGTGAAGCAACTGCTTTGTCATTGCCAAGGCTGGAGTGAAGAGCAGAGTGCCCAGGAGCCACTGGTTTGTGATGGGAGCTGGCTCGTAACCAGTCCATTGCTCTGCGCTCATCCTGGCTCCAGAAAATAACAAACAGAGTTGTGCCCAGAGCTGACCTGACATTGATGCATGAGGTGCATACAAAGATCTGTGTTTGTCTTGGCTTTGTTCAAAGTAGGAGAGGCTGCTGTGGTGGGGGGAAGCATGCTTTCAAGTGGAAGAAGTTTTTTGCAGTGCTGAGAGAGCTGTAATACTGGTTCATATAACCGTGGGGTAAGGATGTGTGGCAGTCTCCCAGCTGAGGCAAACCTGGCCTGGCCCTGGGTGCCAAGTGACTTGGATGGTCAAGAACCACTTGGTGCCAGTGGTGCAGTTCCTTGTTGGCATCTGGATCCCGCTCCTCGGCTCTCCTGTGAGGATCTCTGCCTGTCCTTGCTTTTGCTGGTAGGTTGTCCCCTCCACAAGCATGAGCATGCTCCAGAGGTACAGGAGAGGGCTCTGGGGTGGGACAGAGAGCTGCTTTCCCAGCTCAGCTTGTGGCAGCGGTGTAGGGCCACTCTGTGAGCAGATGGTTGGTACAGCCTTCTCCTCTTTGCTTCAGGCTGTGTTGCACTTCACTGCATGTGGGTGAGCTGCTGCTGGGACTGCAGCAAGCACAGGAGGGTTTCCCATGGGATTCATAGCGGAGTCCTCCCTTCGCACCAAGAGGCTGGTGGGTTTCTGTGCCCATCTGGGTGGGCTGACCCTAATGAGGGCTGAGCTGGCATCGGCTGGGGAAGATCTGGAGTCTGTTTGCAGCGCAACTTCAGACAGCTCCTCTCCACCTTAATGCATTATTGCTCAGACTGTCAGAAGTATTGGGAGATGGAGAAGAGGAGGGCTAATTGGAAGTGTGCTTTGAGATCCTCATGTGAAAGATGCCAAAGCAGCCTTGTATACAATGCCTGGGAAGCAGCACTGCAGTGAGTGGGTTTCTGTCTTGAATCTGTTGTTTTGTCTTGTGCTTGAATTGCCCACAGAGGCACAGTTGATTATATGCAGCATATATATATATATATTTGGCTGTTTCTGAAATGTGCAGTTCTGGACAGCATTGTATCTGAACCATTGAACTAGTCTACTGTGTCATAAGCTGTCATCCGATTCCTGGCAGATTTTGGATCAGGGGATGACAGGTGTCTTGGATCATCATAGACAGTGCTGTGCCCTCACTCAGGCATATAAAGAGGCCTCTAGATGGACGTCTGTCCAACGTAGCACAGAACTCGTGATATATGCACTCTGCGTGCAACTGGCTAATTCATCTCCTCACATTTGTTTAAACGCAGTACAGAAATGCTCTGGAGATGGGGGGAGAGGGATTATTTCTGCATCGTCCCTTCCTGTGTGGTGTTGGCAGGAGACCCGTGCAGAGCTGAGGGAGGGTGATGTGACTGACACCTGCCAAGCTGTAGCATGGCTCCCACTGCTCCCTGTACGCAGCTTTCCTCCCGGCTCACCATGAGCTGCAGGTGGGGAAGCGCTTGGTGGCACCAGCTGGAGGAGGGAACACAGGGCTCCTGTTAGGGAGCCTCTCTGGGACTGGTTCCATCTCAGCTGGCTCCCTGCTTGTGATACCCACTGGGACAGCGATGGGAACAGCTGACACACACTGGGGAGATGATCAAGTCGTGGTGTCAGACCAGCGTTGCTGAGAACGAGCTTCCTCCTCTGATGGTGCTGATGAGCTGGGAGGGGACTGCGGTGCTTGGAGGCCTGGTGTCAGTTCCTGGCCCTGCTCCAGGCTTGCTCTGAGAGTGGGCCAAGCCCTTCCCTCTGTTCCTTAATTCCTCACCTCAAGTACTGGGAGGCGAGAAGCTGTAACTCCCATCTCTGGGTGGCGTTGTCCATCACTTGGGCCATTTGGACTGTGCTGCCGTGGCAGCTTTCTCCAGGAGCAGCAGGATTTGTGGCTGGCTGGGATAGCGTGGCAGAGATGCACTTGCAGCTCACCAGAGCTGGGCAGCTCTGCTTGGAGGGTGGCCTTGCTTGGAGAGTGGCTTGCGCTGCTCTTCCCTGAAGGGAGGACCCTCTCGAACCCACTTGAGCCGGGTGCCAGATTCCCAGCGTGGTGCTGTTGAGAGGCCTCTTGGCTTGCAGCCCAGGCCCTGCCCGTGAGGAGAGAGAAGTGCTGCACAATGCAAACAAGGGGAGGTAACTCCACGTCGCCTCTCCAGCAATGCCGTTTCAGACTTGCCTGTGTCAGAAGTCCCCTGGATTTAGTTATGCTGGATAGATTGCAGAGCTGGGCAGGGTGACAGCCAGGAATGGGAGATGCTGGCTTAGTGCCCTTCCCACAGCCAGAGAGGCGGCTTGCACAGTCTCCTGCTCAACACTCATGTGACAGGGGAGAGGTGAAGCAGTTGGGAGGCATCGGGGAGCTCTGATTTAGTGTCTGAAATAAATGCCTGCTGGCAGCTTGCTGTGATCAGGATTTTCTCAGGAGGTCCAGAAGCTGTTGTACCGCTGTCACTGTGGTGGGCAGCAGCAGCACAAGTCATGAGGGAGACAGGGACGGATGAGCAGTCCAGGGCTCAGACTCTGGCCTTGACCTTGCTGCCCAGTGCTGCTGGGCCCTGAGACTTGTGGGTGGCCGAACTCCCTGCAGAAACGAGATGGGGGGAGGGGGGGGGGGGTGTGTGCTGGGAAGGCAAGGCAGCTCCCCTGCACCTTGCTGGGGAGGGAGCCACAGCTGTGAAGAGCCTCTGTCACCATGCACGCCAATCTCATGTTTGTGCGGTTGCTTTTAGGAACTCTTTGATATAAACCAACACCACTTAAACGTGATCGGCGTCGGCCATCCCTCCCTGGACAGGCTGTGCCGGGTCACAGCATCCCACGGCCTGCACAGCAAGCTGACTGGGGCTGGTGGGGGCGGCTGTGGCATCACCCTGCTGAGACCAGGTCAGTAACCCTCCGCTCGCTCTGGGCATCCTTCCCCCGTTCCACATGGCCCTGCCAGTGGGGTCAGGTCTGGAAGCAGAGGGATATGATGCTAGCCCTCATGTGGCTGTGGTGGGATGTGAAGCCATGTCACGAGTGTGGGATGGTGTATAGCAGAGCTGCCTGGCAGTGTAGTTTGCAGTGTTTCATACAGGGGAGATTCAGTGTGTTAATTTATGTGTGTCAGATCTTCAGGGCATTGGCCCTGTTCCAGGGGGGCATGTGTTTAAACGCGCAATGGCCTGTTTCAGTCTCCCTGCAGTGGCCTAGCTGACTAACTGGCTGCTCTTGCCTTCCTCTTGGCAGACACATCCCCGCTGGCCATGGAAGCAGCCAAGCGAGACTTATGTGCCTGTGGATTTGAATGCTGGGAGACCAATATCGGGGCCCCTGGAGTGACCCTGCACTCCTCCTCGTCTTTAAATGCTGAAGTGCTGCACGCGCTCTCTGAGAGTTAAGCTTCTGCCTCTGGCAAGACTTGAGCTCTTGGCACCATGTCCTTGGAGCGACAGCTATGCATGCCCTGATGCCTGGAAACTTCTCTCCTGGTCTCCTGTATGGCTGAGGGCCTCTAGACATGGGTGTGGAGCCAGTTTCAGGCCTGGTGTCACTGGGAGCAGGGGCTGCAATGAGGACCTGGGAGCAACTGCTCACACTTGGGCTAGGTGCGAGTTTGACCCAGGCTCTCAAAATCCTGTTTTGAATTTACTTACTCAACTGCTGTGCTAATCCCAAGGGGCAGGAGAAGAGGGTCTTGGCTGGATTCCAGTGCGTATAATGACACTTTGCTTGGTTCTGCTGCTTCAGATGCATGTGATGTGTCTTCCCTTCTCCCCTGGCGTCCTGCAAGGGTGGGCAGCGGGGGCTGGCAAGGTGGATGTGCAGAGCGCTTTGACATTTCTGGGTGAAAAGCATCTTGGCAGCTCAGGGCTTGACACTCAGGTCTCCGTTTCTCCTGGACTGTGATTCATGGTGGAGAGAAAACCTTTAAATACAGCTCTTACCTGCTACTAATTAAGAGGTGGATAATTAAAATGAAAGATACAGCACAATTCCAGTGAAATTATCACTGTTATCACTCTTTCCCATAATCTCTGCCTGGGCTGATAAGCAGGGTCCCATAGCCAGACTCTGGTTTTTGTTCATGTGCTCGAGGTCTGGTTCAAACAGCAACTGTCACCTGCAAGGAGGGTGGCTAAAGGCAAGGGCAGTCTTAAAATTTCTACTTGCAATAGCTGTTCTAGGATCTCTCACACTTCAGCCTTAAACGAGCATGCCCTTGATCTTGCCTGTTGCTGGATATGTAAGACATGCCACTGCCAGGGCAGGGGGAGACTGGGGGTGGAGGGGGGTCAGTGACAGAGCAAACAAATTTGTTTTAATTTGAAGTAATTGGCTTTAGGTAGAGAAAAAAAAAAAAAAAACCCAACCAAATCACCTCCTCAAAAGCTGACCATAAGTTGCAATTGGCAACCTATAAAAGCTAAATGCATTTGAACTTATTACGCAAATGTAAATGCAGTTTTTACTTCTGAAATTTTAATGAGTTGTACCATGGAACTAAAGGCAATTGGCAGGTAAGTGTCTGAAGCTGGAGTATCTTGAAGTAATAAGCTGACTCTTAGCGATTGTGGTCTCTTCAGTACCTGCCAAAGAGAGTTTTATCATTGTTCTGTTTGTCTGGTATTTTTTTTTTAAGTGTACGTCTGTTCAAGAATTGCTTCATTCAAAGCTGAGTAATAAATTGGCAGAGGTGGGGGAGCTTGCCTTCCACTGCAGGAATGAAAAATCAAGTGTGAGAAGTTATGTACTAGCTCTAAAATCCTGGCATCATGATGACCAGCTTTAGTTCACTGATCAGATGTAAAACTGTCTCTGGTTTTAATAAATTGATGGGTTTTTTATGTGCAAAGTGTTCTTTGATAATTATGCTGGAAACAAAAGGAAAAAAGTACCTTACGCTGCTTCAATAAAAACATGTTTCAGATGCTGGGTTTCTACATGTCTAATTACAATTCCAATTTGCATCCAAGAACAGCTTTACACTAATCACAAGTCAGAAAGCCTGATAAATTATTTACCATTTTCTAATACAGTGTAATCAATGTGAGTATCTGGAAGCGTGTTGACTCTATCAGCGTTTAAATGTGTCTGTAGTTTCTGTTGGTTAGCACAAAGAAATGCCAAATTCAGTGCAAAGAAACTTAGCTTCAAAACAACATGTCTGGGGTTGATCCTCATTAAATGCTTTCCTTGGAAGACGGCCTCGCAATCATGCTACGAGTGCTGGAGGAGTACAGACGAAAAGAAGGGAATAAAAATTTTGATTTGCTGGTTTAAATCATAATTAAAATTGGTGATTCAAATAGACCAACTGACCATCTTAGTGCGGGGGCCTCTTCTTACCACTCGTGTCCTTCACTGAACAGCCGAGCATGTTGAGTGTGTTGTCCCTGGTTTGTTTTCATCTCCTAGCCGTGGCAGGGCAGTAGCTGGAGGCTCGGCTCTACCCAGAACATGTGCTGCAGGATCCTGTGACTGGGGACACTTTTGCCTGCAAACTTTCAGCCTTCTCTTGCCAGCCTCTGCTTTGTTTGTGGGTGTGATGGAAACACAGAAGTGCCACACAGAAAGACGGTGGCTGAGCCTTGCAGCCGAGATGTGCGAGTGATCTGAATTGCGGTGGGGTGTGGTGTTGCGGCACACTTGGTGGGTGCAAGCTCCTCTTCCCAGGAAGGCTCTGGCCGCTTGTGGAGGTTTCCTCCAGCCTCTGCTCGTCCTGCTCCGCTCCCTGCTGGAGCGGAGATGGGCGATGTTCCCAGGCTGAGTGAGGGTTTCTGGCAGCAAGTGCCCCATCCTTGGCACAGCTGCAGAGGAGAGTGACCCTGGGCTGGGGTCTGTGAGACAGACCTGCTCCGCGCTGCCCGTGCCCCAGGGTGATGTGGGCAGCAGGAACACTGCCGGGCAGGATGCTACCTGCCCTGACGTAGAGGCTTTGCCAGAGCTGGGCTCTGTCTTCCCTGTGCCGCAGGGGCCAGAACTGCCAAAGTCAGCAGCTGGAGCCAGTCCCAATTTGTTAGAAGTAAGCACGGATTTCACACCCATCTGCGAGCATGGGAGCGCCCGCTCCCTCCTTTCTGTATTCCTCCCTCCCTGGCTCCATCAGAGCCTTCGCAGGGGCCTTACTACTGCCGCGATAACTGGAGGGACATTTGGCATGTACCCAACCCCAACTTTTGTACAGGAATTGCTTCTTTGGTTGTACCAACTTGCAACCACCTCCTGCGATTCCTTGAGCTTTGCACATCTGCTCTGCAGTGGGGATGTGGGGGATACAGGGGACCCCATCCCTGCGCCTTGAGCAGCCATGGGCAGCAGGAGCAGCTGCTCCCCAGGACTCTCATGCTCCGTGGGGGCACAGTGGGTGCAGAAGGAGGCACAGCCTTGTCTCTCCCTGCAGTTTGTTGCTTTGGGAGCAAAACCAAAGCACGAATTAAGCCCGGCGAGTGTGTTCTCCCCATGGAGTCATCCCTTCCTCTCCCCTGGCCACATCACAAACACACGAGTGCTTTCCCGTCTGCGCTGCCCTGTCTCCTCTCTCCAGTCTCGTTTTACGGATGTGCAGCGGAGCAGCGATTGCTGCTGAAGGATTAGCCTGGTAATTTGGCTAATTTTTCTTGAGCTTCATTTTTCACATTATGAGCTTTGCAGAAAGACTAACGATCTTGGGTTTGCCTCTAATAGCTAGCGCAGGAATGGGGAGGGGAAGCTGCGCTCCATCCTTTTGCAAAAAAAAAAAAAAGGATGCATAGGGGAGCGTGCCGGCTGCCCGGCCAGGCTGGCATGGGTGAGCATGGGGCTGCAGGCCGGCAGCACCGGGGATGACGGGGGGCTTTCCTCTGCTGTGGGACTTGGCAATAGCTGGGGGACACTGGCGTTTCTGGCCAGCAAGAAGAAAAACACTGTACTAAAAAAACCTTTCAAAACCCTTCCTTTTCCTTCGCTGCCTGTGGATGCTGTGAGTGCACGGGGCAGCATCGCCGCCGTGGTGTCTGCAGCGAGTGGGCAGCACTGGGGTGTCTCAGACCACGCCGTTCGGTGCCTGTCGGGGCCCGGTGGGTGCTGCCCATCCCCTGCCAGGCACAGATGGTTTTTTTTTTTTTTTTTTTTCAAATCCGTGTCAGCAGTGGCTTCTTTCTGCTCCGGTGAATAGATGCTGAAGAGGCAGTGACATTATTTGAAGTAATGGAGAGAACAGAAAAAGCGTCAGTGAGAGAGAGGAAATGTCAGCGCGCAGCCACGGGGAAGGGGGCTGCTCGGGACCCTCGGGGCTCCCCGACGCTCCCGGGGTCCCTCCTGGGGCCAGGGTGGGGATTGGGGCCACGGACACCCCCCCCGCGTGGCTGGCAGGGCTCAATGCGTGCTTGGCTCTGCACAGGGAGCCTGGAGGGCTCGGGGCATGTGGGGGTCCCCCCTGGGGCTGGGGGTGCTCCAGCTGGGTGCTGCCCCATGCCCCCAGCGGCTCCCGGACGAGCTGGGACCTCCCCACACCGTTTCAAGGGTGATTTGCAGATCTTGCATCTGCCGCTGCAGAAGGGCTCCCCTTGCCCTCTGCCACCCCAGCACCGGGGATTTGGGGGCTCCCTCCTTCCCAGGGTCTGTCCGGGGCTTGGCACCGAGCATGCGGGGTGTCCAGCTGGGCTCCAGCGAGGCAAGCGCCCGCGGGGAGCCCGTCCCCCCGGTCTCTCCCTTCTCTCTCCCCTCCCGGCACGCTGAAGGTTTTGAAAGTTAAGTATTACCGTCTGCTTTGTTGTTGCCTAACTACGACAGACAAATTGAGAACTAGTTGTCAAAATGTCAGTGCACAACAAATCAACATTCAAAATGAGTCTCAGCGCTATGTGGTGTATAATTAAAAAAAAATCCTTTTTAGAAATTTCAGCAAGCGTTGGCTCCGCTTTATATTTGTCTGTGTGATTAATAAAGGCAGCTAATTTTCAGACTTTAAAAACAGCTAGAAAATAGCTCCTAATTACATATTAGGTTCCAAGCGGCCCCCGCTGAGCGAGGCTGGTATTGGTGGGCCAGAGAATTTGGCAGGGGCTTAATTACATTCTGAGCATCATCTAATTTTAGTTAAATGTAATGTAATCAGCAGCAGATGTCTGAAATAAAATATGAATTATGAATATGATGAAATTTCATTCTTGAATAAAAAAGTAATTTGCTATTTAGTTCATTAAAGTCGCAGAGGTTTATTAGGGAGCAGGTATACGGTGCGGCTTGGTTGTGTGTTAAAATGATATTTCAGAGAGAGTAGGAAATTGCATTAAAGGTGCTAAAATATTCCGCCAGGACGATGCGCCGGTTGGGAATTAACATTTACAAAAATAACAGAGTCCCTGGGCTGCCGCCAGCCCCCGCTGCCGACAATTGGCTCCAGAGCTTCTCATTTACGCAAGGTGACGTCCTGCGTCCCAGGATGGTCCCTGGGACCTGCTCCTGCTGTCCTGCCCCAGGTATCCTGAGGCACATTCAGGCTTGCTGCCCTGATGAGCTCGGCCGTTTTCCCCTTTATTTAGGGGAGGAGGCTCTGGTGGGGACGAGAGCCCCTGGCGTGTCCCCAGTGCAGGCGTCCCCCTGCCACGCTGGTGCGGGGCCATCGAGTCAGGCTCCGTACGCCTTTTTCCAGCTTGGCCAGGAGAGCGAAGCATCAATTTGCCCGTTGGCTCCGGGACCGCCGCGGCAGGTCCCCATGGGACGCCATCGCCTGGACGTCTCTCCCCGCAGCATCCTCTGCAGTTTCAGCTCTGAAGTTTAAATTGCTTTTCTCTATTCCTTGGTGGCCCGGACTGACAGATAAGCATCTTCTGGAGAGGGAGAAAGATGGCATGTTCATTATTTCCTTGTATTACAGATGCTGTCATTTTAATCCCTCCTGGATGCCGGGAGAAAGGCTGCGGCTGGGCACCGGCTTAGAGTCCTGCCCGCTTCCCACATGTGGTCTCCAGAGAAAACCCCACGGCCAATTCCTCCTGCACGCAGCAGTCAAGCACGGAGGAAAGCCCTGCTCACCGCAGCACGCTGACAGCAG